AGTATCTCGTCGTGTATTGGATAGTGGCGGGGGAGGAGATGAAGAAAGAGACGAAGGAACCGGTCCAATACCCCTTTCTGAGGGGCTATTTTCCCAAAAGCTTTCAACGTTGGAAAGCCTTATTATCTCCCAAATGTCCATCCATGAAGGCCTCATTCTGGAACTTCGATCATATCCGAGTTTAAGGAGTTTAACAATCGAATCAACCAACAATAGCAACTTTTTGTCCTCATTCACCAGATGCCTAGACCTGACTACAGGGCATTTTCCAGCACTCCGCAAAATCAAGTTGGATACTCGGTGGCCTTCGAGTGTCAAGATGGCATACAAATACAAAGAGTTCTCAAAATATTGTGCTTCTGAAAGACCTCGCATCCACATATATGGTCGAGGAAATTTTGATATTGGTTATCATTCAAGACATTATGATAGCTGCAGTACCTGTTTATATTCTTGATGAACTGTTTAAAATCGGTTTGCTATTACATGTACTGGGTTTAGTGGAACAACATGGTTAGGTCTATCCGTCATTGTCGCATTTCTCAATCAGCCAAGTGGATCGACCGAGACTATCTCTAGTCATCAACTATAAGAAGGGTTTAACTTCGATCATAAGTACTAATTCAGTTCTACTTTCATTGAAATATCATTTCTTTCATCCAGATAGCACTTGATACCGTAACTCGAAGCATGAGGTTGACGGGACACGATTTATGTACCAAAGTACATCCTAGACTGCATTTAATTGCAGGGTAAGAAGCTCTGGATACATCTCTGCCGCCTATGAAATCCCATTCTTACCAAGTGTTCACCTTAGATGGTTCTTGTTCCCGAACCGGAGGTGGGACATTGACCATTTCATTGGGTATATGCGACTCCCTGTCTACCTAACTCTTCATCCTTCTCCAGGTCATATATCGTACGGATGGAAGCGGCACCATATGGTATTTTACGGTTGAAGTTCTCTTGTGCCTTTTTCATCCTCTCTGTGATTCGGTATTGTTCGTCGACTGTTTGGGGATCTGGTCCACCCGCGTATTGGTAAGCATTCTTCACGATGAAAGATTTCACCGGTCCAGGTGTCCAGTGAGTGATCTAGTAAGCGGATTAGATAAGAAGTAACTGTAGGGGGGTCCAGTACCTTGAAGATTGGGAACATGACATAAAATCCTGCCCACACTATAAAAGGGCAAAGAGTGAGTCATTGAAATCTGCACAGTACTGCCACATACTAGCTGCATGTGCACTAAGGAAAGCGCTTCGGACGACAAGTTCTGGTACCAGCCCAGCAATGCTAGCTCCTTGAGGAGACGCGCTTGCCCAGGTCACACTTACTATTCGGAATGTTGGACTAACGGCGATCTAAGTGGAACAATGGACATTAGGCAACTGGGACTTCAGCCACAATTCACTTACCGTCTCCCTAGGCTTGTCATGGGATGTTATTCGTAGTCTAAAGTATCCGTCTCCAGAAGAGACTGGTATGTGTACTTGCATCGACTCTAGGAGTTTGTGGTTGGTAAGATTATATGGTCTCCAGACATTTTCGATATCTTTCTTGAACGAGCTTTGCAATGATGCGGGTATCGCTGAATACGACTCTTGAGTAGCAGGTGTCACCTCGATTCCTGGAAGCTTGGAACCCCCTAGGAGAGAGCCAATCGCCCATCCACTATGTGTGTCATTAGATTGGTATTCGCGCGTGCATGTGGGTTGATGAGGCTCACAACAGGCCCGTTCTATAACCTCGTTTCTGTAGAAAGACACGACGTTTCTTGGGTAGTGGTTGGGATCCAAAAATAGAGATGGGCACGGTTGTCTTCGTGGACCGGTACAGGACGAACGGACGCGAATGCCTTAGCACGGAGTATTTGTCCGTGACTGCCACTTCCCCATGCCTTTTAGTATAAGTGTCAGTGCTACATTACTTATAGCCTAAAGAGAACGACTTGCGTTAAATATTCATAAGTCGATTGTACCCAGCCGAAGATGCGAGAGGCTACACTGGACACCGTCGACGTCATTCGTGTTGCTGTCGATATTACTGTGCAGGAGGATGCATTGAATAGTAAATTCTACTAACCAGTGTATACTCTCAATTTAGTGGCACGTCCTAGCAAGTCATGGGAAAGCGCCATGGCTGAGCTCCAAATACTGAGCTCAATTGTCATTTGGGTTTGACCGGATTCCATTGCCAAATCGAGGAGGCCCCCGTTATCAGAATCGTCCAATTCTCTCAGCGACAGGTTCTTCAGGGCACTCATATTCAGGTTCTTCGATAGGATGAGGCTCGCAAGGCCGCCTCCAGATGGGGCCTTGTCCATGACTAATGATCGAATTGGGCATTTTAATGACGATATAGGCCCTAGTAAGTGTTCTAATTGGACTAATGGCATCGACTCGATCGTCAGGTCGAGAGGAGTTGAGCGCGCACAAGTTAAAGCGAATTCGAGATGCTCAACTGTCGAACAGTCATTTCCTTGCTTTGTTAATTTAGCTTTATCTTCATCAAACTAGATGGGTCTTACCGAATGACCGTATTTGTAGTCACCACTCCACAGTCGAATATTATTCCAAAAGGTCGACGTCCCGGTTACAACATTGCGGAGGTTACTAGAAACCTTCATCAATTTTTTACAACTGGTACCACTTTGAAGACATTGATGAGCAATTTCCACGAGAACATCTACTGGTAAGCATCGGAAAATTGAGATATATGACATATGATTGTCCCTCTCATGTTGTAGGCTATCGAGTTGAGCTTGGAGTTTGTTAATTTGAACCTGGAGATTTGAGATCTGTGTATCAATTTTGTCGATCTCAGATTTGCTAGAGAGTATCTCGTCGTGTATTGGATAGTGGCGGGGGTGGGGATTTGGCAGAACTTTTGACAAAGTGCTCATTTCCATATCAAGAAACCAACCACAGTTATGGGTATATTGCGTTCAGAGTGGATTTTCACAGGAGAAATTTCTGGTTAAGCTCAGTGAGGAACAAGCTGATTAGTGGTAGCAACAGCCAATCATTGTGCTTATGGATTTACTCTAAGAGACCAAGCCCCTGGCAGATATGAATCTTAGTCAATGACCTTTTGGCCCAACATTTACCATCATATCGACGTTTCACGTTTAAGTATCCCAACTCAGTTGAAGTCAAAGACTAGATTCACAATTAGAAGGTATCTGTTTTGGAAATGGATCACACCGCGGGCATCCATGACTCTCGCCCATTGAAAACCGGTTTGAAAACTGGAAGTGGTGAAGTGGTTTTTGGCCACATAAAAAATCCGGTATTCATGAGAGATAACTAACAAATAATATGAGACTAATCTGATCGAATAATACACCCGAATATCTTTAGTTTTCTATCAGGAATAGCGGCACTTTTATTGGCCAA